TGCGGGGAGCGGGCGGACGATGAGGTTACGAGGTCGTGTGAGCGCCGCCTGGCTGTCACCAACCCAGCGCCGTCCGCAGGGAGACGGTCACTTAAGAAACGGCTTTTTTTTTTTTTTTTGGCCTTGATTTCTTTTCCATGTGCACGTGGGGGAAAAACAACAGCTGTGATGGTTCACGTTTTTGTGACCATCGTGCAGTCGCTAAATTAAGATTTTGTTTATTAGAGCCGTGAAATCCTTCAGAAGTTCTGGGTGGAATAGCCCAAGTCGACCTTAGAACATGGTTTATTGAACCACTGCGTCGTTGGGGGTGACTGTGGTCAGTGGTCAGCTGCCTCCCCGGCTTCCGGAAGGAGGCGGAGAGCAGAGACCCGCCCGTTGGAGCGATGCCGGCATCGCAGGCCAAGGGCCCAGGTTCCCGCGTTCATCCCAGACTGTCCTGAAATGCGAGTTTGGTGACCGCTGCTTCCCCCGCCTCGGGGGAGAGGGGAGCTGAGAACGGCCAGCACCACGAGGTCACCCCCAAGGACACTGTAGGCCAGAGAGGCCGTTCTGGTGGCGGTCTTGCCTCTCAACGGCCTGAGCGCGGTGCCGGGCCAGGAGCCCTCCGCGGGGTGGGGAGGACTGTGTGTGGCTGTGACGTTAGGGGTGTTAACGCTGGCTTCACAGGCTCCAGACGTGTCCGGCCCGTCAGAAATGACGAGAGATAGTGGGGCGCATCCACACCCGACCTTCTGACTCTTTACGTGAGCGCTTGTTCCTGGCAAGCCAGGCGAGCGGGGGCTGCTCACACTGGCGCTGTCACTGGCTTGGGCGCAGCCCGAGGTGACGCTTTTAAGGCTCTGGACCTCACCGCCGCCGTCGTGAATGAAGGGGCCACTCAGGGTCCTGAGTCCCGGTTCAGGGAGGGGAACAGCCCCTCTGCGGGGACACAAGTACCCGGGGGGCAGGACTCTCGGGGGGTTGGCCCCGTGGCTGCCAGTGGCTGTCTCAGCCGTGGTCCTTTCACGTGCCTGGGTCCTGGACCTCTTACCTGCCTCTAGGTGACCAGTCCCTAACGAAAGCTGCTGGCTGCACTAACTCTGATGCCCTGAACTGTGGTTATGCAACACGGGCCGAGTGCCCGGGATGGGGCAGAGCCCAGGCAGGGGAGGCCCCCCGGGTGCCCGAGTGGTGATGGGCGGGCAGCCCCAGGCCCGGGCCCTTGGGCTCTACCCCCAGGTGGCACCTCCGGCCCCCCGGGGCAGCGTCCTCGCCCGTCCCCAGGTCTTTCTGGCGTGGACAACACCTCTCGTCTTTGCTGAATTCCAGAAATGGCTTCGGACATGCCCGGATCAGTGACGTTGCCTGTCGCCCCGATGGCAGCCACCGGGCAGGTGAGGATGCCGGGGGCCGTGCCTGCCCGAGGCGGAAAGCGTCGTTCCGGGTGAGTACCCCAAGTTCCCGGGTGAGCGCCCCACGCTCCCAGGTGATCGTCCCACATTTCTGGGAGGGCGTGAACCCCAGCTTGGGCCGGTGGGAACGCGTGTCCCTGCTTCTCCGGGGCAGATGCTCGGCAGCTGGCGTCCGTCGTCCAGGTCTCCCTGCCCCTCACTGCGTGGGACTCCCGGCTGGGTGTCTGGGGCCGCAACCTGGGGCTTGCGCTTGCTCATCCTGCAGGGAGAAGGCCCTGTGACCCTGCGGGGTCTTGCCTGGGCCGTGTGTCCGAGGGAGGGGCTCAGCCATCCAGCCCTGAGCTCTGGCCGGGTGGCGGGGGGCAGCAGGGGTCCCCTGGAGCCTGCTGCTTCTTTCCCCGGCTGCCGGTCTGCTCCGTGCTGGGCGGGAACCCCTCTCATGTTGGCACCTAAAGGCCGATGCTGCTCTGTAAGTGGAGGCGGCGGTAGGCGCTGTGGGACCAGAAGGCTCCCCTCCCCTCCTCCCGGGGCTGATGGGACCCAAACCACGTCTGGTCCATGTGTCGTGGCTGTGACTGCTGAGAGCTCCGAACCCAGCCAGCCAGCGGAACCCCTGCAGGGAAACACGGCTGCGTTCGCGGGCGCAGCGCGTGACCCGGCCCCTCTCTCCCGTCCGGTCAGCTTTGTTTCCAACAGAACAGTTGATAAACAGTTTCTCTTGAAGTAAGATCACAGGCTCCCCCAGGACTACAACTACGGGGTGACAGCAAAACGCACTTCTGACGGCCGAGGCCTGCGGGCGGGCGGGAGTGGCGGGGGGCTCCATGTGGGGGTGGGGTGCACGGGCCTGCTTGGCTTCAGGTGCTAGAGCGTGTAAGGACCGTCGTGTGTGTGAGTGTCCTGTGGTCTTTCGGGAGCAGCTGAGATTTCGACAACCGTTGGGAGGGCCGATGAGGCCGAGGAACCGTGCCCAGTGGTGACACCAGCTTTCCCCGAGGCAGCCAGTTCCGCCTCCCTAGCCGCCACCGCGAGGGGACTAGCGGAGCTCTGAGGAGCAGTGTGGGTGCCCCGGGCACCTCCTCAGAGCGGCCATGTAGGGAGCAGCAGCTTGCCTCTGGGCTGACTGCAGACATGGGGTCCCTTTTCCCTTATCCGGCCGGCCGGCCAGGCGACCTAGGTGCTGAGCTTGATGCAGGCTGTGTCGCTAAGGGTTGCCGGTGCCACCAGCTTGTCAACTTGCTACGTCTTTGTTTTTTAAGATTCCAGGTCTTTTAACGTTGTTTTAAACGTCTGTGATCTCTGACTTCCATCTCCTGGGGACAGAGCCCCGTGGCGTGCCCAGTTCTTTGTAGGAAGAGGCCAGCTCAGGGCTCTTTGACAAGGGCAGTGCTGGATGGGAATGAGAACAGGCCAGGCCGAGATGCTCGGGTGCAGCTGCCTGTGTCAGCGTCGGCCCCGAGCCCTTCTGGCAGGTGCGCGAGGCCGTGCTTGGGGCCGAGGCTGCTTCGCTCTGGCCTCTGTGTTTCTGGGCCTCGCCCGGTGTCCAGACGCGACTTCTGGCTCCGCCCCGAGCTGACGGATAGTGGGCTCAGTCTCCTTCCTGAGAAGTCTTCGGCAGACCCTTTCTCTGCTGATCACACTCACGGCAAGACACTGGAGGCAGAGGCAGGCGCGGGCGGGCCGAGAAGGCCCGGGATGCGAGCTGAGACAGTCCCGGAAGCAAAGCACCGAGACGAGAGACGAGATTCCAGGGCGTGAGGAGCAGCTGCGGCTGCACCGCCCGCCAGCGAGGATCAGGGTGTGGGCCGTTTGCACAGGCCCACGCTCTCGGCCTCCCCAGGGGCTCGGCCAGCCCTGGTCCACGTTACAGGGCTGTTTCCACGGCAGTTCTTGCAACTGACGTTTCTCCGCGTTTTGCTGAAATTCCGTGATTGAGCGGCTCCTGCTCTAGAATCTCTCGAATGTTCCCCTGGTCCCGCCTGCACACTGAGCCGAGCCCAGAGGACACCTGATGGAGGGGGCTCCTGTTGCTGCCCCCGTGTCCTTCCACTTCTTTCTGAAAATGTGGGGCGCCATGGAGAGACGCAGGGAGGGGGAGAGCGCAGGGGTACAGTGGGGCGCCAGGGGAGGTGGCCCCCGTTCCTTGCCTGTCTTTTCACCCGGGCCTGTCGTTCTGGTGGAGGGAAGTGTCCCAGATTCCGAGGATAACCACCCACCCTGCCCGGGCGTTTCAGAGCCACATGGAGCCGACCCCGCGTGGGCTTCGGCCCCTCCCGGCGCATGCCTGGGCCAGCGCCGTGGGCCCTCTGGGCCGGATGCGCTCCCCCTTCCCCGACGGCCGGTCCCGGGGAGCGTCCCACGCAGCTGCGTGCACGGCCAGCGGTTGGGACCCAAGGCAAAGGTTCAGAAGTTTCAGATTCTTTGGAAAGTGATTCCACATGTGGGAGCCGTGAGCCGAAGCAGGTTACCTGAGCTGCGTTTCTGTGGAGACCTCCCCATCTCAGGCTGGGGGAAGGGGAGG